AAGTATTGATTGTTGCGATGTTGATGATGCTATTTTTAATGATGACGCTGACAAAGATGAGGATAAATATTCATTATAGTTTGATAAAGGCATCTTTATGGTGTTACAATCAAACGAATCCTTTGATTTTAAACGTGAATATTTTGCCAGCATATTAATTTCTTCCATTAATGCCTCATGTCTAAATATTAATCTAATATTTGGTGTATTTGTTATATGATAATAAATATGAACTTGGAAACATCAGAGAAATATTTATGCAAAAGTGTTTCCGCCGGGACCTGGCAAGAACCAATTTGATCCAAGCCAATGCTTCTTTAATGTCATTTCAAATCCACTTTGCAATACCGAGTTACGCGCCAATTCACGCATATTAGTTTCCAAATCTATTTTATAATATATCAGTTGTAAACATAAACATATTTAAATAATAATATTTACCCACAAAAATGCCTACCTGTGCAGCTATACTGTACTCTTCAATCAACGAATGTAATGAAATTGTAATGAATCATCAGTACTAAGACTAATATTCAATCCTTTCTGAAAGAAACTCATGAATGGATTTCTTTCATAATTCAAAAACAAAGCATTGTTTGATAAAGGCAACATTTCAATTCCAATTGTTTCAAATAATATAAATATTGTAACGCAGGAACTTTCCTCGACAAGATGCCATGTGAGATTGAGTGTGATGTCAAATGATCAGTGTCACCTGCTTCACCGGCATGTGCTCTCAAAACAAAGGTAATGAACCCACGTTCTTTCCGCCACTGATCATATTCGCGAACATGTAGCATAAGTAGTAGGGTTAAGGCGGGTTGAGGTTGATATTCCATTATTCTGGTGCAGGATATTTTTTGTGAATAAGTTTTTCTACTTTTGATTCGTCATTCACACTGATAAATCCAATTGCACGTTGTAAAATATGTGTAGCTCGAGATTTTTCTTTGGATTTTTTGTAACAAATGGTTCGTATAAATCATATTGAAAGAAATAAATTAAATATTTAATTAAATATAATCTCTAATCATTAAACTCGTAATTCTTGTTTTATAATTATAATTAAATAGTATATATATACTTCTTATGACATCTTCGAAACTTTCAACAGTATTAGTATCTTTATAGATACCATAAAGTCTAGGCATTTGAATCAACCATCTGACATTTGACGAAAATATTTAGTTGTTTACCACCCATTTTGCAAGTTCGCTCCATTCCGATTTTGATCTATATACAAAAATTGTTTGTGGCGATGAAATATATAGGCGAATCAATAATTTATAAATATTATGTGGATTTTTTATTACCTCCCATATATCGATACTCGATATTCAGCCATTTGATATTTACTTGACTTCAAATTTGCAATAACTTTTATATAATTTACAAAAAAAAAACCCATAAATAAATTAAATAAATAAACAAATCGAATGAATAAATAAATCATTAATTAATCAACCTTTGGTTAATTCAGCTGAATATCTTCCTTCAACATAATCATCAGAAAAATTTCCCGAAGTCTAGATTCACCGAATGGATTGTATTTTAGATCAAATTTGAAATTATTCTTTTATAACCCAAGTACTTGCTGTGTGTGGGTTTGGTGTTGTAAACTTTCCTAAATTATTAATCATATAAACATTTAATCACATTATTGTTATTATTATATTAATTGATTTGTTATCCTCCATGCCCAAGGTCAACCTTTTACGTGTTTCATCCATTATTTCCTGGTGATTCACCACTAAAGAAATATTTTACAATAATAATTTTCTTTTTCAAAAGTCGCTCTTTTAAACAAAAGTATCAAATTATTTTACTGATAAAAGCAAAATATTGAAAGAAGTCGTATTTTAAAAACTTTTTAAAGCCAAGAAAATAGGCGATTAAAATTTATACTGGCAATGGAGAAAAAGTTAATTTTTACAATTATTCATGTATAAAAATGGTAAACCAAGAGAATATAGCAAGTGTAAAGAGAAACAAGATACTCTGATCGATTTTGTGAAAAGTGTATTGGTCTACTCCACAGAGTCTTTTCAGTACTTACGCAATTTCGTTTAATATTAAGAGATAAACAATTAATTGATTATAGATAATCTAGGGGATTTGCTCTATGCTAGAAAATTTATTTTTGCCATCCTGGGCCCACTTTAAAGGCTATGTTGATGAATTTTGTCAGAATATAGTTCCTCATTATCTATATATAATTAATGTTATCTAAAAAATAAGATTTGATGATGTTACTCTTTACTTTTGTATAAGGGTAGAAATGGTAAAAAACTCGATAGTAACGACCCTGTTACACAGCTTTATCTCAATGGATCTATAAGATCTTGGTGTCAAAATAATTCCTCTATTTGAAGCTTTATTGATAAATCACGTTTTAGATATTGTGTAAAGTTTTACAACATATTAATAGTAAACAGTAATAGTATTATAAATGTGCACTCGAGAATAAAGCATTTAATAAAGCTTGCTAATTATGAATATGGGTGAGCATGAGCGCGAAACTCCCAAGTATCTGGTTGTCGACCTTTAGCATCGTGTACCAATATTCTTAATAACATTATGACTGTTGGAACAGGCTGCAAAGTTACCGTCCATTTATCAAAATTTATTATTTTATTATTATTGTGCTTTTTGTATAAAAAGTAACCCACTTTTATAATTTTTTTTTGTTGAGGCATCACTAGTACTAGTTTCTTTTATTTCCGTTATTTACAAATCAAAAAAATTTATTTAAATCAGTTGATTTTACATTATCTCTATTCAGTAATTATTCTTTTCGTTACTGAAAATTTATTTGATTTGCACCAGCTCATTTAAAAACTAGCAAGACTGGAAATGGTGAATGAGAAAAAGGTAATTGATAGATGAACTGACTATTATAAGTCAACATAGCTTGATTAGGATATTGTAATAAGGATGTTTCTAGCATTGCATCAAATTATTACCACAATTATCAGCAAGATATTTCAGTAATTTCTGGGTCACTTGAACAATAATAATTTTCATGGATTACATTTGAAAATGATATTAATATTAGTAGTAGTGGCAGTAGTTGTATTTTTATCAATGATTAGGAAATCTTGACCTAGAAAAGTGTTCACCAGTTACACCTTCACCATGAACCACCTGAATAAAACTTCCAAGTTAATTGATAATTAATAACGTGGTTAAATTAGGTTTGATTAAAGAAAAACACTTTTATTTTTTAATTTATTTAATATTATTTATTTACGAGACTTTCTTATTTTACTCTTTCTACACTATTACCATACTATTAAAATTATCCTTATTAGTATTAGTATTAGTCATACCTTCCAATCTCAAAAGTAGATCATTCAAATACAGGAATCCCAAACCGTGTATAGAGATCATTAAACCTTAAATTTCTATTTAACGAAGAGATTTCTTTAATTTCTTCATCAGTCAAAGTAAAATCTACAATTTTACGATTTTCAATAATTCTATTTTGATTGTTTGATTTTGGTATAATTGCAATATTACGTTGAATTGCCCAACGAAGAGCCACCTATCATTGTAATAACATGAATTATTATTATTATTATTATTATTGCCGCTGCAATTATCACCACTCGCTTTAGATGTATATGAAAAGAAGACAAAACCTGAGCAGTAGATTTATTATGTTTCTTTGCAATCTGTTCCAATTTAGGTTCTTCTAACAAATGAGGAACACCCTCGACACTTGTTATTCCAAAAGCTACATAACTAATTGAACCTAGAGATGAGTAGGCAGTCACTGCCAAATCTTGAGATTTTGCATAATCTATCAATTTTTCTTGTGTCAAATATGGATGATGTTCTATTTGTAGTACTGATGGTTTGATACGTGCATATTTCAACAATTCCATTATCAACGCTCCACTAAAATTGGAAATTCCAATGTTCTGGATTACAAATATATGATGATAAAAGTGAATGAGTTATGTATAAAAACATATATATATATATATATATATATGAATACAAACCATCCACGATATACACACTTTCTTATATTTATATATTTACCCTGACTAATCCAGCGTCGACCAATTCTTCCATAGCTTCCCATGTTTCTCTGATAGTGACATTTTCTTGAAGACAAATCTTATTCTCAGTATCATAAAACCAGTTAGCAGGATAACGCTCTTTTGGATCAACATATTTCAAGGAGACAGGGTTATGCATCAAGTAAAGATCTAAATATTTCACTTTAAGATCATTAAGTGTTTTCTCAAGAGCTGGTCTAACATGTTCTTTTCTATGATAAGTGTTCCATAACTATTTGCGAATAGTAGTTGATAAAATTTTAAAAAGGCTTTATTTATCCAATTAATCAATTAATTATATTTATTTGTTTATTACCTTGGATGTGATGAAAATATCTTCACGTTTTACAACTTCATCATCAATTGCTTTTTTGATTCCATCACCCACTTCTTTTTCGTTAGCATAGATAGCTGCTCCATCCTGAATTTATTATAATACACATAAATTGTATTGTTAAATGATTATCGATAGATTGCAATTGAAATAAATAAAAAAATTTAAATAGAATATTTACTAATAATCGATAACCATATTTTAAAGCATGATAAACAGTATCAGCAGCTTTGTCTTTAGGTATTTGCCATAAACCGAAACCGATGAGTGGCATGGGATCGCCTGTTGGTTTTAAAACGACAGCATTATCTGAAGATACCATTTTTTTATTTTATTAAAGAAAACAAAGAAATATGAGAGAAAAAATGTAAAGAAAAAAGTTTGTTTATATATATATATATATATATATATATAACTATTAATCAAATATTTATACTTTATTATTATAAAATGAAAGATGATTACGGCTTCAAAGACATAAATTTATCCATGATTAATTCATATCAATGTATTTAGACATAAAGTTAATTACTCGCATACAGTTAAACTTTTTAATATTAATTTGTATACTTTATAAAATAAAGTTACGGCTTCAAAGATATAAATTTATCCTATATGGGCGGATTTTGGAAATTGGGGAAATAAAGGTACCAATGAGGATGATATTTTTATGGATGAATTTATTCCACCAATAACGTTTTACAGCATATTGCAAAGGTTATTATCAAAAAAATAACATCTTTTGAATGTTAATATTAATATATAAAAAGTTAAGTAAATCATTATCTACATTGGCGGGAATTTAATGAGATTTATAGTAAGTATTGTTTAAGAGATTGTATTACTATTACCGTATTTATTAAAGAATTGCGACCATAAAAAAAATTGTTTTAATAAGAGTTATTATGCATCCATAAAAAAAAAAAATATTAAAGATTGCCAATTTTGGCCGATAATAATAAAAAAAATTCGGCGGCGACTAAGTGACGTGCAAAAATACAGGTACAGTTATGGCGCGATATGGAGCAGGTGACCTGTATCTTGTACCTTTTGAGATTCACCCAATAAACCTTGAAAAGTACAGGTAAATTGAAAACAAATAATCCTTTTTTGTTTGCAATCTATTTATTAAATGATTATTATGAATGATGATATATGAAGTTGAGAAAATTACAATGTTATTATACATGTTAAAGGTTCTAGCATCTAGTTCTCCAATTTCTTTAAAATCCTAATTAAATGTATTACTTGAACCTTCTGTGTAGAAATATTTTGAAAGTGATACAAACATTTAAATTCCTTTGTTTAAATTAAATCCAAAGAATTAAAAGTCTGTTATATTTAGAATGTTAGAATATTTATTTCTCTGTTGTTTGAGATATTCTTATTTGTAATTTTCCAGATTTATTTATTGATTTCCATGATATGTAAAATTATTATTTTACAACAAAACCTTTTAAAAATCAAATGACTGACATCACATTAAGAAAAAATTGATTAATTGCCGATCCTTTTATAATCGGCAAATTTTCAAAAAATTTTGGAATAATATAAATTTAAAATCTTAAAAGAACCAATATTAAATTGTGGACCATTTTCTTGTTATTGATGGCAGCCTTCTGATAATGGAAAAGTATTCTCTATTTGTGGTTTTCTTTTTGGATCAGTAAGAAACAATCTTTAAAAAATAGGTAGGTATCTTTGAAAATATACAATAGTCAATAACACCAACTACTACATCTTAAAAACA